TGACACTGTACGTTTCGCGCTTTCTGAACCCTCTACGTTTTGCAACATTGCACCCACAGAACCCAATCCATCCTGGATATGGAATGCGGAGGGCGGTTTGACAGCCCGGCGCAACCCCCCTCCGCCAGGATTGATTTACGCCTGCCCTGACGCTTTATCAGCCTCACGAAAAAAGTTTGACCAATCATTTTGCTGGAAGCTCCCAACCCGGCAGTCCCGACTGTACTTTTTCTTGGCTAGGAAGTTGACGCTGGTGGTGGAGGAAAGGGGGTTAAGCGCGAGTGTCGCCTGTGTTGACTTTTTTTTTTAACAGCTACCCCCCCAGCCACCCTCACTATATACCCTAATATCTATAGAGAGCCAGCTTAACTAGAGATCTACTCCTCTCTTTCTCTTTCTCCCCCTCTTTTTTTTTTAATTGCTTGCTTGCTTGCTTGCTTTCCCCTTCATTGAACTGTGGGGCTCGTACGATGTCCAAGAATGTCCATTACTGGAACTCTTAGCAATTATTATGTCGACTCCATTATAAGTCATGACAGCGAAGACTCGCCTGCCGCCAAATTCTCTTCCGGGCAGTACTCAAACTCCAGGCAAACTAGCCACAGTGAACACCTCGAGTTCCCCTCTTGTAGTTTCCAGCCCAAATCGTCCGTTTTCAGCGCTTCTTGGACGCCTCTGACGCCACACACGGCGGCGACCCTTCCTTCGGTCTACCATCCTTACATCCAGCACCAAAACATCCCTACCTCCGATAGCAGGTATCTACGGAGCTGGCTGGACCCCGTGCCCAGAACAGAAAACATAGCTGGGCAGGGACCCGTTAAAACCGAACCGCTGCTGGGACACGCGGGGGAGATCCGTAAAGAGGGAGCTCAGGACTACCCGGTAGAAACTTCTGCTGGAAGGGAAGGAGGCATCGCTTCCAATCAAAGGCCCAGCAGCTTCGAGGACAATAAAGTTTGTGAAGGAAGCGAGGACAAAAGCAGGCCAGATCAAAGTAAGTTATAAAAAGTGAGGAAGTAAACAGCATAAAAACCTAAGAGGGGGTGTCATAAAATGGCACAATGAGAGGGGGAAGCGCTCTCTCTCTCTCTTTCCCCCCCTCTGTCTCTTTTTTAAAAAGCAGGGTGTTGTTTTTTTTTAAAAAATCCCCTTTCCCTCCTCTCTCTCCCCCCCAAAAAAACTCCCACTGATGTTAATTTAAGTCTGGAGGGTTGGGGTGATGGAGTAAAATTGCTCTGCTGATTTTGATGTTCTAAGACCTTCAGTGGAGGATAATGGAAGGGGAGGCTGTTCTACCGTTCTCAGCCAGTAGCTGGATGAATGCCCAATTTACTATGTTTGTCTGTATTCCGGGATGTAAAAATTGGCGGTGTGGGAAGAGAAAACGAGCTAAGATTTGGGGTGCCTTTGTCCCTCTGTGTGTGATTCTAATGAGAAGGGTTGGGGGAAGGAAGGGGACCAGGAGAAGATATTTGTTTTCGGTGGTGGTGGTGGTTGTTTAAAGTGACGGGAAGAAGTTCACGTGGAGAAGCAAGGAGGGGGCTTCTGTTGCTCGGGCGTCCTTGTTTACCTCGCGGGACCCCCATTTTCTTACGCGGCGCTTTCCCTCTGTCATTCTCTTCTTCCTGGCCGTTCATTGTTGTTTGCTTATGAAACGCACCCGATGTGCGTATCAATATTTCACAGCCGCCTCTTTCCCCCACTAGCCCGCCTTTTTAAAAAAAAAAACCGTAAAAAGGGAAACGAGCTTAATGGTTTTTAGTTTATTTTATTTGCTATGGGGAACAGACGGGCCAAGTCTTAAACTTAATCGTGTGCTTCTTTGTGCAACCTGGTGGTGGGCGGTTGCTATTATCTCCCACCCATCCCCTTAGAGGAAAAATATAGTGAAAAAGGATTTGGTAGAGGGGGGGGGAGTGGAGGAGCCATAAAGTATCGTCCCAAATATATTCCCCCCACCCCCATATTCCGCAAGGTAGGGACAGGACGACTCCATTCCTTCCTCCACGGCCTTGCCTTCGTGTCCGGGGCTCCAAATATTCCTCCTTCAATATTCCGGCATGTGTGAAAGAGGTTACTAGGAGGTTTGAAAGTCTCAGTGTTATGTACTTTCTCCATGGCGACGATTCCCACAGAAATCCGAGAGAACTGCAGCCATCCTGATTCCTATCACCAGCCCTACCTACCTCAATCTATCCTCCTTCTTTTTCATGGGATTTATATTTTCGTGCTTAGTTCCCAGTCCCAAGCAACCGTCGGAGAAAGCCTGCCAGTGACCCCTCTTTTCATGGGCATTTGCTCAGGCGTGCTATTTATTCTGTTTATTTTCCCCGTGTCTCACTGTAACAGCTTCACACAAGGGGAGGTGGCGGAGGGCGCGTTTTGTGTTGGGTTGTGGGCGGAAAGTCTTGACCAGCGGCTAAAGAGAAGCCCGTGGAGAAGATCTGAGAAAAGAAAAAACTGAAAAGAAAGCTTATGTGTCCCTCTACCCTCCTTCCCACCCCATCTTTCTCCCCAGCCCCGGGATTGCAGATAGATAAAAACCTTGCCCAAGACAGCTGCTCGGTTCCAGAGGGCCACGGTGCCCAGGGACGTCCTGTGCAATCTAGTTTAGAAGGTATGTCTGGCCGGATATGGAGAGAAGGATGAAAAGGAGAAGGGGGTGAGCCTCTCCCAGGAAAAAAGAGATTAAAGCCTTGCATTCCATCCAGTTTCTAAACGCCTTTGCCGTTAGGAAAATATGACGGCTATTTAGAATTCAGAACCTGCAAGAACTTATTTGTCCATAACAACATGTAGGGGTTGTGGTTGTGTCGGGGCGAAGGGGTGGGAAGGGGGCATTTTGGTGGGCTTTTTTTTTTAAGAGTAGCGTGCCAGGCGAAGATTTCTGGAGCGGGGGAGTGAGGGTTGTTTCCTGTTTAGGGAATAGTGTGAACTGAAAGATAAACTTGTTTTCCTGTGCCAGACGTCATGTTTCCTTGAAGTGCCAAGAAATCACATACACACATATTCTCTCTCTCTCTCTCTCTCTCTCTCTCTCTCTCTCTCTCTCTCTCTCTCTCTCTCTCTCTCTCTCTCTCTCTCTCTCTCTCTCTCTCTCTCTCTCTCTCTCTCTCTCTCTCTCTCTCTCTCTCTCTCTCTCTCTCTCTCTCACACACACACACACACACACACACACCACACACACACACAGAGAGAGTGCTCAAAAAGGAATCATTGGTGGAGATTTCATTCAGATGCCATTAACAGATAGGTAGGCGTATTAATTATTAACAACATGCCCCCTTCTTTAATATTTAATTCTGACAATTAGAGCCAGTCGCTTCTGTTGAGGAAGTGGCAGCTAGGATTTGTAAGAAAGAGGAAGCTAAATCTCGTTCGAAACACACACACACACAAAAGGAATGCATTTCATTTTACTCAAAGGAAAAGGCATTAGGGCACCTCCTGCCCCACTTGATGAGAAGCCAGGGTAGTGAGGCTGTTTTTAATTTCAGCAGACCTCCAGGAAGTCAGACAGAAGTGGAAGAAATGGGGCATAATAATCCATGAGAGTGAATGGCAAATAAAATGTGCTCCTCTTTCAGGTCCAACAAGACCCTTTGTCGCTTTGGCTGCAAGGGGCAGAAAGAAGTCTGGCGTTCTGTTCTAGCACTTTCCGTTTCCTTTCTCTTTTAACATGATTTCACTTTCGTCAGAAAAGAATTAGGGAAGAACTGCTGGATTCAGTCTGTGTCAGTGTGTTTTAGACCACAGGAGAGATTTATTCTTGTTTTCTTTCATTTAAAGTCCAGTAGTAAGAATCCTTGTTTACTCCAGAGTTGACCTATGCCTCCTAATGGCCTTATGTAGAACTGTCTTCCAGCAACACTTTTGTTTCTGCTTTCCCTCCTGTGGAGGGGACGCTGGCCTTCTACTATGAAGTTCATGTTTCCTTCATTACTATGTGGAGTAAAATAGTAACTAGGGCGCAGGACGTGCGCAGCAGATCTTCTCGATGGATTCTTCCCCATCCCCGAGATATTTTACCCCCTGCTTTTCGATAGTACTTTGTGGTGGCAGGATCATCAAGAAGCGAATCCGTTTTTCTGGACAATACTAACAAACCAGGACAGGCAATTTGTTTCACAGCTGGTAGCACATAAGAAAGTTAATCACAATTTTGAGAAGAAAAAGAAAGAAAGAAAAAACGAAAGAAAAGGAGGAGGTGAGGATGATAAACTCCCATAAAGAGAGAGTGCGTTCCAGATTATTCATAAATTTATATATTAAATTGCATATACAGTTCTTAGTTGCATAGGGAGTTCACCCAAAGCAACCTCTAAAAGTATATCTATATATTCCTATAGTTTTCCTATAGTCTTTCTTTTCTCTTTCTTTATTCATATCAAAGCGCTGAACAATTCAAAATCCATGGACGCACATGAAATACAGGCAAAATCAAAAACCAGTTAAAATATCAAGACAAGCAAAGTATTTTTTTTTTTTAACAGAAGTGGTTCAGAAATGGTTGAGATGGTTTCAAAACTTTTCCTCAACTTCAGCCGTCCTCTGGGGGCGGGGGTCCTGTCCATGAAGTGGGAGGGTTCAGCGCAACACTTTGGTATGAAAGTGATGCTTTCCTTCTTTCCTAGATAAGCTTTTTCTCATTCTTATTTACAATTAAACTTACATTTCCTTCCTTCCTTCCTTCCTTCCTTCCTTCCTTCCTTCCTTCCTTCCTTCCTTCCTTCCTTCTGTAAAAATAGCAACAAACTCTAATTGTCTTCCCCTGTAGGAAGATGCCACTGGCTATAGAACATGTTCAGATACCTGACCACCTATGTTAGTCTGTGTGGTTTGTATATTGGCTTCTTTACATGCCTCCACAGATCTTGGTGGGTGCATGCTTCCTGCGTGCTAACCAGTTCGAACATTGCCCCAAAGTCACACTGAGAAACCAAGTAATTTTTTTTTGGTGTTGTCTGACTGGTCTGTTTTTTGTTTGTTTGTTTGTTTGTTTTGTGTGTGTGTGCGTATTTTGTTTTTCCTTACAGGTAATCCTGCAGCCAATTGGTTGCATGCTCGCTCTTCAAGGAAGAAACGATGTCCCTATACCAAGTATCAGACCCTGGAGTTGGAGAAGGAGTTTCTGTTCAATATGTACCTCACCAGGGACCGTAGACATGAAGTGGCCAGGCTTCTCAACCTGAGTGAAAGACAAGTCAAAATCTGGTTTCAGAATCGAAGGATGAAGATGAAGAAAATGAACAAGGAACAGGGCAAAGAATGAAGATTCCCTATCCTTTCCTGCTCCCCCCTCCCTCCCTCCTCATCCTCTCAGTTTTGGCGCAGTCTGCAAACTTAAGTTCTATTTATGGGCAATGACTTCCCCAGTGGTGCTTGAGAGGACAACAAAAATCAAGCCAAATCAGAAGCAGACCTCCTGGCTGGCATGCCAGGAATACATAATGACTGCACCTGTTTGTTTCCATTGGGTCTCTTCAGCTTTCTGAAGATCTGGAGAGAGGTTTGGGACAACTTTCAACCACCAGGAAAAAAAAGAGAGAGATGTGTGTGTGTTACTTATAACAAAGTAATTGAAGACAGTATCACCTTTATTAAGTGGATGGTCTTTATTAACACACTTCAGCTCTCCAACCAATTTTTAAAAAATCACAGACAAGAAAGCTACCTGAAACTAAGGACATTTTCCACCTGGCTCTTCCTCTGAGGGAGATGATTGGAAATGAGAACTAAATGATAATAAGGGAGATGGTGATTCCAGGTAGATGGTCCCTTGTACTTCTTCAGAACTCTTTTTGCTTCTTAAGAAGGGCGGGATCATCACTTGATCTGTATAGTCAATTGGTAAAACTATGGAAAGGAAAGCACGTCATCCTCTAATTTGTCCCTCTCTTGAGAGCCAGGAGGAATTGCATTGTACATTCAGTTCCATCCTGTTCTTCCTTGAAGTCAGCTTTTCCCATGATCCTGGCCTGCAGATGTGTGGAAGTCTAGGTCCCATAGTCCCCTAGCCAAAGTCTTGGCTGCAGACTATGGGATCTATAGTCCAGGTTATCTGGAGGGTGCCAGCTTGGGTATCGCTATTTAAGACAAATTCGTTTGTGGTGGAACATCCAATTCTCTAACAAAAGATTATTTATCCAGCCATGGCTGTTCTACATGCAAAGACTGTGAGAGAGACCCTCAGAATACAGACAGGGCACAAACTCTAACTAGGCTTCCTATTTGTGTAAATGAGCTTGCGCAGTAAAACTTCCCGGGTAGGTGCAGCATGTGCTTATACTTCCACATCAAGGTAATTGCAAGTTTTAAGGGACCAGAGGTGGGTTAGAAGGCAGACATCGTCGAGAGATGGAGTGAGGAGGGCTTTACAAAAGTGAAGAAAAACTTTGTGTTTTAGTGTCAGACTATTTATAACTTATTGTGAAAACCGGATAGTCAGAAAACCATTCAAGTGACATGTGCGGTGGTGGTGGGGGGTGATCTCTGGATTTTTCTCCCTTTTCTTCTCCATCCAGGTCAGTGTTGAGAAGTTTTCACACCTGAATGTTCTAGGACTACTTTCAGTCTGCACCCCATTGCTTCTGGAAGACAAATCTATTTTTCAACTTTCCATGAAAATGAAAAGACCTTCAAGCAAGCAGCATAGAAGGGCTGTGATGACTTTAGGAATTGGAAAGGTTTTTTTTAATGCAACATATGCATTTCATCGTTGTTTACAAAAAAAAATACCTATTTCATTCCCCCAAAGGGGGATTCTCTCATCTCTGAAAGTCTCATCCCTTTAAAATTGCCCTATGTGGGATTCTGTTTTCCTTATGGCTGTTCAAACAACTTTCCATTCCGTTCTTTGGTGAGGCTTGGGGAGGGGAAGTAGGTAGGTAAGTAACTTTATTGCAAGGTGATTATATGGTGTGTGCAAGTTCCCCCCCTTGTTTTTATAAAAAAAATGTGTTTGTCATTGTGCTTTTGTGAATGTTCTGCTAGTTTCCTGTGGCATTTAGGAGTATAAAACCAGACCTATACATATTCGTTCCAGAACTGGAGAGGAATACACATGTAATAATGCATTCCTCATTGTTTTCCATATTTCCAGACTGAGTTACTACTTTTTAGAAATAATGTCATTATGGGGAGCAAAGTTTTCATATCAGAACAAACGGGTGGGCAACTGAAAGGGTGGGAGAGGGAGGGAGAATTTAAGTCTATCTTTCAAGATCTTTCTAGACAAAACAGTCCCAACAGAGAAATCTAATTTCATAGAGTGTTGTATAGAATTTTTATACCGTTTTTGCCTGCTGACAAACTGTTGTTCTTTAGAAATTTGATAGGCATATTTTAATCTTTCAAAACAGTGATTCCTGGTTTGAAAGATTTTCTGCAGACACAAGTAATACAGTCTTTTAAGGTTTAGTTCAGTGTAAAATAATAATGATGATGATTCTGCATTTTAAAAAGAATGGTTTGGTGGGTTTTTTAAAAAGGGTTCCAAGGGTTCCTCAAAACCCTTGAAATCCTTGGTTGCTATATAGATTGAGGGTGGGTGGAGTGAAAAGTAAACCGAAGGCAAACTGAAGTGAATTTCTTTTTATAGTTTACAAAATTAACTCTAACATGTCCCAATTGTTCAAATTAGTCAAACTTCACATTGTCTTACAAAAGCCAATTTCATAATGGAATTTCCAAGGAATTATTTTCCAAACTCTTTATTTCCCCTAGCAAAAATAAAATCGAAATGTTGCTTTGTTTGACTTTAAATGCGATCATCCATGTGAGGGTGTCTATTGCACCAGTTGAGATTTTGATAGAATTCTGTTGTTTGTCTGTGTTCCTTTAATCGACCCGGGTGCCTCAAATGGATCTCAAAGCACATCCTTTCGAAGATCTCCCTGAAACATTAACATTTTGTTGGGGGGGGGCGATAATATCTCTGTATATGTATTAACATTTTCAGTCATTTTAATCACAAGCTCATCCCTAGACTTTGTTAGAGAAGCTCTTTTTTAACTGCAAAAAAAAAAATTAGTTAGGCATGTGTTAATATTTAAAGAAAAACTAGCTGATTTCACTAGAAAAAAAAATCTGTCTTAAGAAGGAAAGAATGTTGAAAAATCATTATTGTTTATTCTATTCCTTAGGGTCAAAATGTGTTTTCCACAGTTGTTCAATGCCTCAGAATAAAAATCGATTCAAGAGGGGAAGACGACCTATATCTCATTGTGTTATACTGCTTCTTTTAGAACGTGAGAAATATTTGCAGCTGTTGTTCGCTTATTCTTGAGAGTGTCGAGGACGTGTTATAAAGATCTTTGTTTTTTGTTTTGTTTAGTTTGGTTAGAGAGTCTCTCTGTACTTCTTATTTTTAATTGTTTTTCTAAGTGTCATTTAGGAAAGCTTGTAAGAGTTTCTTATGTGTATATTTGTTTCCTTCCACGTTAGACTGGTTACATCTCTTAAACCCATTCAAGCAAAACAGAAATAAAGCGGTTGTCTGTCTTTCAATTTGTGCTGAATTTGTAGCGAGTCCTTGTTATCACTTTTTTCAAACCAAGAAAAAGAATGGACAGCTGAATGAAAGAGCATACAGGGTTGAATGAATATTGTGCTGATATTATGGAAGGATGGTGGATCTTGCAGCCTAGGATAGGAAAATGAAAGGTTTTCAGACACAGACAGGCAAACACACACACACAGCCCAGAATTGTATAGAGCCAGTGGCCCCTTCTAACTTGTCTATCTATTATGTAAATAAATGTAATACAGATCTGAGAAACCATATTTGCCTAATAATTCCTTATAACACCCAAGAAGGCTTTTGGTGATCCTACTTATTTAAAAAAAAAAAATCACTTACGTTGTATTCTACAAACAGAAACTATTATGTACTGGAAAAAGTTATTGGTGTGGTCTTTTGACTGTTTTCAATTACTCACCTCCAACATTCAACCGCCAGTGGAGAAAACAAACACACACACTTTCCTTTAGTGCCATTTTTATAGTGTGAAATTAGGCTAGGTTGTTTTTTTAAAAAAAAATAAATGCAATACGTATATTAATTTCTTTGGCAAATGCTGGGGGGAAAAGAGCCAAAGGATCGCTGGATCCTACTGGAGTTGAAGTGGGAGAAGGAGCTTGTCATAAAAGCGAGAAGAAAACTCTGCGCAGTAGGCTGCAATAAAAGAATATGACCGCCATAAAACTTTATAGGGTATAAATTTCTGAAGGTTAAGGAACTAAGCAACTGTAAAGCAAACAAGAGTAGAAAACTTTCAGAAGCTCCTAAATTACTAGAATGTCTTGAGAAAGGAGGTGAGGAGGGGGACGGTGGAGGAAGAGAGAAGGGCATCCGTTTTCATCTAGTTCACCCCCAAACCACAAACACTTGCAAACAAACGAACGAACAAAACCGAGCTTGCAAAGAAAGAAAGAAAGAAAGAAAGAAAGAAAGAAAGAAAGAAAGAAAGAAAGAAAGAAAGAAAGAAAGAAAGAAAGAAAGAAAGAAAGAAAGAAAGAAAGAAATCAGGAGAAAACCCTGTATTAATTTATCCCCCTCTTGTGAATTCTGTGACACTCAAGCGTTCTGGATTGCTTCATTCTTTGTCTCGTGTTTCTTATCACTTCCAAGCTGCCTGTTTCCTGGATCATAAACTCACAGCGCCCGCTACCACACACAAACACAAACACACATGCACCACCAGCACCAGCACCAAATATCGTCACACATCCTAAAGTTCTGGCGAGACGTCTGTGCTTAGAAAGCCTTCTCCTCTGCTCTTTTTAAATCTATTTACAACCGCAGCTTTCCCCTTCCAGAGCAGAATACTTCAATTGTTTAGTCTCAGGCTTTGAAACAATGACGGTTTTCAAATGCGGAATCTCAGCATCTCTTTTACTGCTTTGAAAAAGACCGGATGGACCTAGTAAATCGAGTGACTTCTGAGAGAGGAGAAAACGTTCCCTTCCTATTCAACCATCATGTACGGCATCTTATAGTTTCATAAACGATTCACCATATGCAACAATGCTTTAATCCCACACAAAGCGTTTGCTGTGCTCATAAAAGCACAACACATACATACACACACACACATGCTGGAGCAAATCTTGCTAACCCATCTTTGTTTATTGGCCGTGCATGCTTTTTGGGTGTCTAACTTCGAATGGCCGGTAGATGGTGCTGTTACTCCATTTTAGAAATTGCCCGATCGCTTCTGCTTCAGATTTCTTTTGCCTCTTGAGTCCACAACACCTTGATTTCATTAGGAACAATAAACGGAATTGTTGCTCAAAACCATTGTGAGTAAATGTCCGACATAAAATGTAGGATTAATTATTGCGATCTGGTGGTTTCGTTTTTGAAAATTTATGCCTTCAGTCCACTGGAAGGTGACCATCCCAGGGAGGGTAATACCAAGAGGGTGGGAAGTTCCGTTCCGCAAACCCTTTTGCCATTAAAGGCTACGGTGAAAGCCATTTTTGCCAGGGTCGCCTTCGCTTATGCAGAGAAAATTCCCGGTTGCATTGGTGTTCTGGGGATACTGTGCGTGTGCGCGCGCCTACTTATATATATACATTCTATATATTCTCTCTGTATCGAGAGCATATATAGAACACGAATACGACTAGGAATTTTCTCTGCATAAGTGTGTGTATATATTATATATTAAGTATATAAACGCACGCGTTTGAGCGTGTAAAATATGTCTGTGTCTGGTCAAGCCGGCAGGCCAACATGTTTGTTTAACTGTACAGCAGTGTAATCTTGGGTATGTCATTTTGCTCCTCCCTTGCTTTGAAGATCTCAAAGGGTTATGATTTTTGCACGTCCACTTCCCCACAATCTGGGATCCCTTCAAGCTTGATAAGAAGGACGAGTCAGGAGGTGATGTCCATCCTGTAAGCACCCTATTATACTTCACTGGGAATCTTTGCAAAACCTTAGACAATAGACACCACTGGAAAAGAGTGCTTCTAAATACCTTGTGGGGCGAATGAAACCCCTACCTCTCTTCGGGAGTTGTGGCCTTGCTTTTGAGGAGGGCCGGCCCTGGTTCCCACCACCTTATGTTTCTGTCTGCCGTGTGCTTGCAAATATATACATTTAAAAGAAGGGAGAGAGCTACAATGAATTGAACAGAGAGACTCACTGACCCCCGACATCATCCTTGATCACCATTCCTTTAGTCCCTCCAAGAATCATCAAGGGCAGCAAGTTTTTCTCTCATGATGGCTTTTCGAAATATCTTTCTTCAACCCCGCCACCTTCTAAAATCGGGAGCTAGGTGTATCCTTTCATATAAAGTATTCGTTCTTAGAGGGAAATAAGGATGCAAAGGAGAGCAAAATGGAATGTTGATAACCCCTTTTAATCAAGGAGTTTTATCTACAAGATTTTTAAGGGGCATATATGTAGGACAAGGGTGCCGTTCGATGCACAGTGTTCTCCAACACCACAGAACTTATGATAGCAATACAAAAAAGAGGGGAGCGTAAGAGAACCAAAAATAAAAAGAAAAAGAAAAGCCCCTCTCCCCCCCCACCACCACAAGCTCAGCACGCTCAACAACAGATCTCCAAAGGACTAAATTTCAGTAGCTCCGCAAAGGCAGCGAACTTTTCCATCAGAAGCAGCTTGTGCAAATTAATAGAACTTACCACCGACACCACCCCCACCACCCCCGCCGCCTTTTATACAACAACAGCATCGGCAACGCGTGGAGCTATAAAGTAATGAGAAGTTACAGTTTACCCAGTGATGTATTTTGGAGGGAAGAGTTCCTTAATAAATCTTTTCCTCCGCTGGGCATTGATAAATTATGTTCCCACTTTCTCTCGTGGTTTTCGTCCCCTTTATAATAGAAACATTTTCCTTTCATCAGAGGTCCCCTGTACAGTAGGCCAATGTGATTTAGAGGCAGCGATTGATTCTCGATCCACGGGCGACGCTTTGTAGGATGTTTTGAGCTAATCTGTACTGCACTTGGTGAAAATGTTGACTTCCAAGACAACTTAACTCCCTTCTCTCCCGGCCTGCTCCTCTTTTACTTAAGCATATACAGTATAGATATATATATAGATATATACACACACACACTCCCACAGAGAATAGGGCTGTGACTCTTGGACACCTCTGATGCGCCTACATTCAAATGCTCATTAAAACAACAAAAACAAACCCAGCACCGCTCCTCACAAATTCTGAGAAATGGTTGCAATCGTGCGCATAGACACCCTCGTCCACAGGCTTGGGG